CTTGTAGATGTTTTGTCTGATGCTAGAATAAGAGATGCATATTAAATGCCACTGGAAATGTTTCAGAATTGATTGTCCAATAAAATATATCACAAATTTGAACATTAAAGTAAATAACATCAGACTCTGAAGATATCAGTCCAAAAGCTGTTCTAAAACTTTTGTGGCTTATATCTGAGTATAGATACTCTCCATTTGCTTATAGAGAGGCATGCTGCTCTGAAATCTTTTTCAAATTACCATTAATATTCTATGTCGGAGAAGGGAAATAACCTAATAAGATCAATTTTCAAACATATTTTTTCAGGAAGGAGCTAGAGAGTGATCCTGAAAACTGCCACCTGGTATGTAAAAATTTGGCCTTTATTAAAATAATGGAACTGATACATAAGATGAAAAATGTCACTGTATTTGGAGGAAAGATGAGTAAAACTCCTATTTGCTGATCTTGACTTCATGGTTTCAGTCTGGCTTCATGGCTTGCAGGCTTCATGGCTTTCTTTCAAAGTTCCTTTCTTTCGTTTCATGAAAAAGAATTTTTTTTTTTTTTTTTTTTTTTTTTTTTGTGAGGAGACCCCGATAAATGTCAAAGCAAACTATAATAGTATAATAGTCACATTACTACTATTAAATGCAGAGGCTTCCCGTGATGCCTGAAAACATGTCCAAGCAGGGAAGAAAAAAAGGAAGATTCTGACAAAGATCAATATTGGATTAATTCCTATTTTCAGCATTCATTAATGCTGATTACCTAGTGAAAGACTAGACTAGTGTGTTTACCCAGCAGAACTGAACATCCTGCTGAGTATTTAATACAGTCCACAGATTATTGCAGACCAGCTACAAGTGCTTTTAGAGCAATAGTTTGGAAACTATCTCATGCCAAAAACTCTAGAAAGCATGCCTAGAACCATGAAATCAGGGCAAGTATTCATTTGGAAAATCATTCACCTTTAGTGGAAAAGCATTATCCGTGTTCTTTGGAATGCCTTTTGTATTGTAGGGACTGTTACAAACCTCAAAACCAAAGAGGTCCTTCAGCTTCTGAAAGGGCTGAGAATTTGTGCAGTTGTGCACTCAGATGGTTTGGCACAGCTTTAGCAACAGAGAGCGGGGCTCCAAGGAGTCTTTGTATTCCCTCGGCTGGGGTAGATGTGTCTTGAACCTAAAATGAAAAGGAATGGTGTGCCTTGCTGCATTAATGTCTTTCCTAGCTCTTTTTTTTTTTTAATTTTTTTTTTTAATAATATTGCTTCTACTAAAAGAAGTTAATAAGAAGTTTTAGATCATTGGACTTCAGTGTAGCAACTCTGACCACATGCATCAGTCCAATGCATGCAGGAGGGGATATGGTCTTGTTTCTTTCGTCTGCCAAAATGCCAGGAACCAAACATCTTTGGAAAGAAGGCCTAGTTTGAAACTAATGACGCTAAAACCTTCGAGTGCAAGGTCCTCATGAGAGAGGTCCTCATGTCTCCAGTTGAATTTGCACAGTTAGGGCATTTCAGTTGCACAGAGCCTTGTTATACTAGACMAGGGTCACAGAGGTCCCTGTGCAGGATTCTCATTGCCTGTAACAGCCTGATTTGTGCAAAAACCTTCCCAAAAAGTGGACAAGGTCATTGCTTGGAATAGCTGCCTCACTGTACAGTGGCAGCATGATATCCTTCATATTATAATTGGCCTCAGATGATCTCATAGGTCCGTAAAACCAGTTTTCTTTGACATATATGCTTGACCTTAAATACTATATGATGCAAAATCAGATTCGTTTCACATTATCCATTCAAAGATCAAATGAATACTGGGCAAGATATTGTCTCTGACAGTGGAAGGCAATAGAATATTTTAATTAAAAAGTTAAAACGAAGTGCAAATAATAAAAGTTATTTCACCAAAACCACAATTGTCTCCCCTGCACCTAAAGAATTTGTCAAGAAAAAAAGAAAAAAAAGAAAAACAGATTAAAGATGCTTTCCAGCCTAAAAGTTTTAGATAATACCAGAATATTCCCAGAATATGTTTCTTCATAGGAATATCATTAGGAACATCATCATTTAGAAACTTAGCCAGCAGACATCAGAATCATCTTTTTTTTTTTTTTTTTTTTTTTTTTTTTTTTTTCATTGCAGGCTGGCAGTACTTCTCTCCAGATGTACCATTTGGCACATTAAGCAATTCTTTTCTTAGAAGGGAAACCTATGGTTTTGCCATGTAATGCAAAACACCAATGGAATCACTACATAAGCAAAATGCTAGTAATGGTATAGTGGTCCAGCCACAAACATTGGTATGTTAATTTTGTTTTATTTTTCCCAGTGTGTCATCTGTAGTACTGTATTTTGTATCAGGACTATGGCCGGACTGTTTAGTATCATATTTTAAAGTGCATTTTCAGTGGGAGGTTTAAAGTAGGAAACTAATGATTTTGATGCCTTCTCCTCCCCAGCCCCTAAAAGCTGTGCTTCATATGGCTCTAGCTATCACTTTAGATCTATCACTTTGTCTTAGAGACCAGGCCAAATTTTTCCCTCAATTATAGCTCAATTCATCCTTTTAGCATCATGTATGCTCTTTTGATAATGGTATCCAAATGCCTCTGAAAGCAAGTACTTTGCACTAAGACTGTGGCTTATACTTACCATTACTTCCTAAGAGTAACTATGCCTTCAAATACAACTTCGCCCTATTTGTAAGTAAGAAGATAAAAACAATTATAGTGTATTTAGTTTGCATTTAGTTTGGACGACAGTGATTGGCTTCTAGGCTATTTTAGCTCTTTGATGGAGCATCAGCTTGTTTGGTCCTTGCAAATGCAAGGTAGTGGATTATTATTATTATTATTATTGCAAATGCAATAGTAGATTTTATATTATACCTCACATATTTCACCTCAGTTGCTAAGCTCGTTCTATGCTACTCATGTTGTGTGAAAAGAAAGATAAACAGTCAGCAAAATATTATTTTCATTTTTCTTTTCCTGACAACAGAGAAATTGTAGAGAAGTAGTACAGTGAATGGTTCTACTTATCATCCTTCTAAGTCTGTATGTGAAGCAGAGGCAGAATCTAAGTTGTTTTACACATTTTTTAATTTGACTTTTCCAGATGAAGGTGCACTTGAAGCAGCAACTCCTTCTACACACCCTGTTGAGGGCCACCTAATATGAGGGCCTAGTAGTGGTGGCGCAGTTCGTGTGTGTGGCTTGACAGGCCTTGCCCAGCAATGCTTCAGTGTATAAAGCTTAGGAGAAAAGGTATAGGGAGAGGAGGGCTGGCCAGGGGAGGCAYGGAAAGGTAAAGTGACTTGCATGGGTTCATGGAGCATGGAATATGGATTGCTTGGAAGCTGGGAAGGAGAGCTCTGAGGAGGATCGTTCTATTCTTGCCATGTTTGTTATACACCTGCTCCAAATATCTGCTGCTGGGTACCATAAGAGGCAGAATATTGAGTGAGACAGTTTAGTGTGAGCTAGCATACTTACTTCGTAGTCTCCCAAACTGGGTCTCTTTCCTCACCCATCTCATGTCAAGTAATCACAGACTCTTTTCTCTTTTTTTTCTGGCTTTGTCCTGTTGTAATACCACTGATGCTACTAGTCTTGTTTCTGATATTTTGTAAGAGAATTGTGTAGGAGAATTTTGTAAGAKAATTAGAGTCTGAGGAAGGTAAGAGATGTAGACGAGGTGGAAGCAAGTGTAACACCCTTCCTGCAGAAAGGCAAAAGACTCTCTCTTTGTGGCTACTAATGCTTTTTCCCCTTGCAGAGATGAAGATGGCATCAAASTTTGTCTTTGCAAGGTGTCTTGCAAATGTATAACAGTAGAAGATCAGACCTCAGTTTACTCCAACAATGCATGCTGACACTTCATGTGTASTGCAGAATATTTCTTCCCCTTGGCTAAAACTTTTCTGAAGAATCCTAGCAGCCTTTTGACTTTGGTTCCCTATGCAAAGAGGAGGYAGCATTTCCTCTTATTGTGGACAGCATAACAGCACCTACCATCCTCGCCTTAGGGCCAGGATGAAAGGAGAAAAAGGATGTTGGCTGTGAAAAACAGAGAGTTCTTCCTTTCTCAAGTTGTGCTTGGTATTGGGAGAATGAACTGTCACCTTGGGGACAGAGAGTGAGACCGAGGAAAGAGAGATTGAGAGAACATGCTGCTGCCCAACCTGACTTGGGTTCCCTAGTAATTTTCTGTTTATTATATCCTGTAATTTAGGCTCTCCATAGGTGGAGGTCAGGCTCTGCTTGGCCCAGTTTATGCAGATAGCAGGATTCTTTCTATTTAATGTAACAAGTGTTTAGTTTCTAACTGGCTCCTGCCATTCACCCTAAGTCTCACCTTTCTTCCTCTCCAGTTAAATATGTCAGTTCTGACATTTGCCTGTCCTTGTTTTCTGAAAATGCCAGCTCCTGGTTCTGTAGACATACAAAGCAGTGGAAAATCCAAAGTGAAAAAGGCAGTGTGATTTCTGTTCAAGTTTCTACTTAAATTGGTCTGTGGGGCCTTTCCAGTTTGATTATCTATGTAATAATGACCAGGTGTTGCAAGGTAGGCACTTTATYTATTTATTATTTATTTATTTATTTATTTTTCCTTCCTGCCCCATGAATGCTGGGAAAGAATGTAAGGAAAGCACTTGGTGTGAGAACACTTTCCCTCTCCTATTGGTTCAGTTTGTAAAATCCAGCAATGTTTTAAACCCTCAGGAAGAGGAACAAGCAAAACTTCATTATTTCTCTTCGGACCTGTAGCAGCTAAACACTAGAGGATTTCTGAAAGGAAGATAACCYTCATTCATGATCAGCTGCAGGTGTGTAAAAGATAGTGTTCGTGCTCGTGCTAGTGCTCGTGCTCCGGCTCCGGCTGCTGCTCCTGCTCCTGCTCCGGCTCCTGCTCTGGCTCTGTTTTTCTTCCCCCACCCTTTTTACTGAGGCAAAGGATCTCAAAGCAAAAATGAAGAAGTTGTGAGAGTTTGCAGCTACCTGGGAGTTCAAGTGGAGAAACTCATCACAATGTTGCTGTGAGCCCTGCCATGCTGTTAGAGCAGGGGGAAAAATGGAATACCTGTTCAAGGTAAGTTACATTTTTGAAGAGTTACTAGCTAATTGTTTTAAATAATATTTAGATTTCTCATGCTCTCATTTATGTTGTGGCAAGTGTTACCTCCTAGCTGTAAGGTATGTGGGGTTTATGAGGTATCACCCTGAAATTTCCATGAGAATGTTTTTTTTGTTTGAGATGTGTGTTAAATATACCTAAAGATCAAATCAGCTTGCAAACAGATCAGTCTCAAAACACTTGGCACAGCTTTGCTCATCAGTGTATTGTGAGTGATAACACGTCAATGGGAGAAATGTTGAGCAGGCAAATAGCTTAYGTAAGACTTCCTGTGCCACACCATCTCCTCCTCATGTTTGCTGGTTTTTTGTAAGACTTAAGTAGCTGAACCTACCTGATGTCCCTTCCAAAGTCAATTGATTTTTTTCCTAACTTTCAGTAAGAGGTGGCTTTATATGCCTGGCTGTCACCCAAATTACATGATGACATTTCTGAACAAACTTGGAGGTTTAGAGTGATAATGAAGGATTGCCTGCCAAAATAAAGCAGAATTGGTTCAACGTTGATGCTAATGAATGTGGAAATAGTAAAGACCAAAATGTCAAAACAAATAAATTAAAAAATACCACCATATGATCACGGTATGCTGATGACATTTTATGAGCTGCTTTAGTGAAGACTATTGAAAATATATATATATATCTAGCCACATACTAAATTTGTCAGGCTGCTATTCGTATTTCAGAAGATTCTTCTTTAGTCATACAAAATGACATACATGATTTTCCTTCAGAAATTTCCTAGCTTTTGCTCCACTAGAACACCTACAGAAGGCATTGTGCTCACAGTGAGTTGCAGGCACGTTCCTAATACTTTTCTCTGTTGTCGCTGTGTATCATTTGTCCTTTAACTGTTTGCTTGAATCTCCCTGTTGTTTCTCAGCTAGTGCTTTGGGCATGCTTTGAGGTAGAGACCAAATTTATGTTCTGTATTTACACAGTACCTGGAGCCTTGTTTGTAATTAATACTCRGTGTCTATAGATCCAATACCACATGACACATCTATAAGAAGAATGAATTTTTTACTTAGAAGGGCAGCTAGACTGGTCTTTTGTAAACAGTGTTATTACAGGTCTGGCACAAACCCAGTGGTCACTTAACATGAGGTTTCATTCACCTAGAAGAGGCAAAGCATTTGAAGGAGAGATTCTGAGGTCTTTGCCCCATTTTCTTGCACCTCTGTTGACCAAGAGCCTTGGAGCATTTGGTAGGTGCCCTGTGCAGAAAGGACTTGTTGTTTTGTCCACCTCTTTTTTCAGGATTATGAAAACTTTTCAGAGAGACTAGCTGAGAGRTTAAGAAGAGAATGATTCTGGTGTTGACCCACTGAAATCTACTGGGTGCATTTTCATTGAGTTCTCCTGATTATCTAGCAAAACTCTTTCCAGTGAGTTAGTGCTCCTTAGACGAATGAAGCCTTTAATTGCTTTTTATGTATTAGCAAAGAAATTGGATTCCAAGTATACCAAGACAATCTTTACCATTTTTTAAAGATACCTTGAAGAGCATGTAAAATCTAATTTTACATGAATTTTAATATTTCTTCATAGTACTAGACTGCCCTTTAATATCAGAAGCAACTATTGAGCAAGGGTGGATTTGGAATAATAGCATTATGTCATCAGAAAGGAAGGTGCTACTTAACCACTGAAATCTTTTATAAGTATTTTTCCATGTAGATTTATGACTAATTATACTTCATAAATTTAAGAGTGGAAATTTGGTTTCTCTGTGATCATAGCTTGTGTCTAATAATCTACACCGAGCTTTGGAGTGCAGCCGAAGTGCAACTGTCCCTGGAAATTTCTTTTTAATATAATCCCATTTTCTAGTTAAATACTTTAGATGAAATATACTGAGCAGGAAAAAAAAAAAAAAAAAAGAGGGCTACTTTGTTTGGAGTACTGTATTGCCTGAGGACTTCCTTATTGAATATACCTTATCTTTTTCTTGCACTGTATCCGTAACAGATCAAGCTGGAGCATAAGGTACCTCAAGATCTGTTTGATTTTTATTTTTTTCCCACTACATTGAGTGGAGCAATTCAGATGTTGGTCTAAGCCACAAGAGTGCTGGAGACCGGAAATACTTGATTTCAGCACTTGAATTTGAAGTTATCTGAAAGTAAATATCTCTTATCTAGATGGCATGTAAGCTGTGTATTCATCTGGTTCCCTTATTGAATATCATTTTCCCTTGCTCAGTTTTTCGTTGGGCTTCCTGAGTAGAACTAGACAAACTCCCAGGTCATTCTGTGCGTTCAGTGAGCTGTGTGACTCTCCCTTTCCCTCTCTCTCTTGTTTTTAATCATTCTTCTTACGCTTCCAGAATGGTTGTCCTAGGAATCACTTTTGCAAAACTTTAACTGTCGTCTTCATGTGCTTCTCTCAAACTTCAAATAGCTAAAACAAAGCTGCTTTGGTATTTAGCTGCCACCCCTCTAGTAATAATAGAAGCTTCAGGGTCAGTGATTTTTAAACATAACTGGAAAAACCACCTTTCTCATGATGCCTTGTGCTGGATTAATGGATGACGACATCGGAATTATGAACGTTAGAAATATGCATCCATTAACAGTCTGAGGATTTGTATCCTATTGCTGTAAATTTTTATTCAAATTTTCCAGAGAGGATAATTTGACAAAGCCTTTGTTAAAAGGCTATTGTCTATTACTAAATAGTTTATATTGACTCCAGAGCTGACTAAATTTCAGTGATGATCCAAGCTGTCAGAAAGATATTTTGTGAGGAATAGTTTTCTTATTGTATGGGTATATTTACAAGTACTCTATGTGGATGCACATATATATTTTTTTTTAATAACCAATTATCAGTAAGAGTAGTTTCAGTTAACTCAGTGCTTTGGAAATATCCAAAGGATATTCCTACTTTGAGAAGTCATTCTGAAAAAACTGTCACCCTTACTCCATAAGATTATCACTCTGTACCCATTACTCTGTACACCATTATCAGCAAATACCTGATAGCATATCCCTATATTCTTACTACAGTGAAAGAATTTAGTATTTACTACTTTATATTCCTGTGAATGTTGCAAAAGCATTGAGCTCTACCATTGTTAATTACATTGCTCCTGTGGATGCAAATTCTACCTTGAATTTACCCTTGGACTACCTTGTTGGAAACAAGCTGTTGTCCACATTGAGTTCAGGGCAGAGTTGATCTCGAGACTGTCTGTTACTGCTGGTGGTACATAAGCACAATCAAAATGAGCTTGACTTCCATTAGATTCCAGGCTAACTTTTTTCTTTTTTTTTTTTTTCCTTTGTTTGGCAAACTAGAAATACCATTCTGCTTAATAAATAAGTATGAGAATAACTGGTATGCTAAAGTTGCAGTGCTGACTATAAATTTTATGATTATACAGTACTGAGTCTTCTTGTTCTTCTGACACACTGTTTATGTGCACAAGGCTCTAGGCTTTACAATAAGCAGAAGGGGAATAGTAAGTACAGTGTGAAAACGCTTGATTTCACTGCAAATCCTTGTGCTATTTCAGAACTATCGGAATAAGAGGCTGGTGCTCTTTAAAATCCAAAGGGAGGGAAGCAGGAGGTGAAAAAAGAATGGAGGAGCTGTGTTAAGATTACCTCTGTTAAAGAATTTGACTACCTGGTGGTGCACTTTGAATGCAATGGACTTTTAATTCAATCTGCAGTGTCCCTCCTATGTGGAAAAAAAAAAAAAAAAAAAGGATTAATACCCAAGTTCTGTGGTGTTCGAACTAATCTTTCTACATGATATAAAAGACTGCTGATCTTTCCTTTCCTGAACAGGAATATTGATTCACTTCCAGTCAGGCTGAGACAGTGATTCCCATTTTGGTGGCCTTTGTGTAGGCTCCCATGCCAGAGGTCTGCAGCTGCTTTGCATTTGATCTCTGGAGTAGCATTTCCTCGGAACCAGTCTTCAGGAATCCAGTGTGTAACTTGGATGGGGGAGGGTATCCTCAATTGCATTGAAATCATATCCAGAACTTTTGTGGAGAAGAGACCTGGAGAAAGTGAAGAAGCCAGACTGCTGTTAATGAGAACGATCAGTTCTCTGCAGCACACCACTTATATTGCAAGGCGAAAAACAAAAAGGAGGAAGAAATTATTCTTAAATTTCTGAGTTCTGTGGCCCTTGGAGCCGATTTGCAGCCCTGAGAAAGGTGCCAATATCTTTGTATTGCTTGGCAGAGAAAAGAGTACCTTGTAACTCATCTTGTCTGGCTATGGCCTGGCACTGCATCATGACCAGGTTGATGGCAGCCTGACAGTTTTAAAAGAATATATTGGCATTTTATGAAAAGGGAAGTTACTGCATTTGAAAGGAAGTAAAAACAAAACCAGAAAACCTATGCTTGTCAGTTTTATGGCAGAGGCAGTAAAAGCACATTTGGCACATTACTTCAGCCAATTTCTGCAACAAATTAGTGAGCTAAATTGATTATAAAATCAAAGATAAATTTACATAAGCATTTGTGTTTTAGTTATCCTGCTCCTAGAGTGTATTATAAACTCAGAGAGGCAGCCCCATGCCGCTTGCAGTTAAAACTAGTTTACGGCCTAAATTTAGATGTGCGGCAGCTGAGGAGAGCAATAAATGGAGCAAGAAAGGAGCCTGGAAAGAAGAGCATGGGAAGCAATGGGACCTTCTGGGTCACTGGCTCCAGTCCCTCACAGCCCTCCCTGAGGGAACCACATTGTGTTACAATGTCCTGACATCGCATTAGTTGATACAAAAGATGAGAGTGCTTAAATTCACGGATTTGTCTCATTCAGTCTAGTTTTCCTTTCGTTCCATTGGTTATTCGATCAGACCTGCACTAGGGTATATCTCTTATGTTTCTGCATTGCTTTAGGGTGAGGACATGTACCAGGGAGCTAAAGCTTGTGGTAGACAAAGAGAGCAACATTGGAGCATGGAGTGTGAAGGAATAGGGTAATTCAT